CGAAGATGGGATCAGCATTGTATTTTTTTACTGTCCATTATTACATACTAGGAAGAAATATAAAGAAAAAATTCGGACGGTTTCTGAGAAAAAAATTGTTAAAATAATAAAATTTCTCAAAATTGATTTCGTGAAAATATGAGTAGTTTTCGTGTAATTTTGTTCGAAAATGGGTATTTTCTTTTTTTTAATTCTCAGAAATCCCTCCAAACTTTTTCTTTGGGTTTTCTCCTCGTAAGTATCAAAGGACGGTAAAAAATATGGTGCTAGTCTCATTTTCGGCGAACTCTGATTTTTCGAAAAATGTAAAAAGTTAACACTTCAAAACTATAAAATTTAAGATTTCAGTTAAAGTCTGTTGTAAAAAATAAGCTCTTCCAAAAAGGCCATGTATAATTTTTTAAAAGAAACAAGTAGTTTTCGCGTAATATCTGCTTGAAATTAATACAATTTATAAAAATATATTTTCTAAAAAAATATGCTCCTACTTTTTTCTTCAAATGCTTTCCAGAAATATAAAAAACGCTTAAAATAATAGTGTAGATCTCATTTTCGTTGAACTCTGGATTTTCGAAAATTTTAATTTTAGAAATAATGCGAGAAACCATGTGCTGTGGTAGCACCATTAGCTCGATATCAAAGATTGGGAGAGGTGGCTCAGGGCATCATCTGATGTCATTGTAGTGCCTCTGACCGGGAGAATCTAGCTTCGAGTTCTAGCGGTGGCAGGATTTTCGAAATTAGCTAGACAGCTAGGTCCAATTCAGTTGTTTGGAGAATTCTTGCAGCCAGCTGCTTTGATAGGTAGTTTTCCGTGGTTTCTTCTATTAGTACTACACGAATGCCGGAGCAGTACCCAGAAAACGGGCCACAGACCGCGCACGATCTTTCCTTCATCTTTCTTATCCTATCCGCACCCCTACCTTACACACATGAACTACACTTCCACACCAGCGAGGAGACCGGTCGAGAGCTTGTCCCGGTTGGGACGGAGCCCCGCTGGCGGGAGATACCTGGTTGGAAAACTCTGCTAGCCGAAGGGTAGGTCGGCGCCGCAGAATTACAGTACTTTATCTCTATTGTACCGTAAGTACAGTCGTAAGGTGAGAAAGTACACTAGTCGCGCTACAACAGTACGTATGTTTTCGCTTTATTGAAATCTGAAAAGTAATATTATAATAATGCAATTTCTGACCTACTAACTTCAACCATCACTTGAGAAAGTCCAAACCACTTCAAATGAAACGCCTGCGCTGCGAATCTGCTATTATTTCTGCAGCCAGGAACAGAAGTAATTTCTTACTTCTACAACTTACGGTATTCGGAGCCATTACACAAACAAATGGGGATGATTTCACACAAGCAAGCCTTGATTAAATTGAAACGAGCTACCAACTTTTGTGTTATACCATAATCAGCTCTCAAACCTCTTTAAAGAAAAAGAAGTCTATAAATTAAAACACCCAGAGATGAAGGACATCCAATATAATGAATGCCTCAAGGATGCGTAAAAAATATTGTGACAAACCTATCACTTCTATATTTATATTCTACATCAAGAGTTTAGAGAGATCTACATCAAGAGAGACAGAGTTTATACTTCGTGTCACGTTTCTCCCCAAGGTTATTCGTCTTTCAATTTCTTCTTGACTATTTCCCTTATTGTTAAAAAGTACACACAAATATTTATATTTGTTTAATCCTTTCACTTTTCCTCCATTTTCCAGAAGATCTTCTATCTCATAGTTACCAACTGTCAGGTATTCAGATTTGTCCATGTTAATATTAAGTCCTGCTTTTAAAAAGTGTTCATTTCGTTTACGAATCATGAAACTCAAATCTACCATTTACCCTCTCCGATCGTCATTCCCGTTATTCTGCATTGTTTCTCCCACTGCTGTAAAATTTGATGCAGGTATATTTTAAACAGTGTTGGGGAAAGACAGCAACCCTGACGAAGACCTTCACTGACTGGGAATGGCTCCGAGAACCTGCTGTAGATCTTAATCTGAGAGGTGTTGTTTTTATATAGATTATGTGTGGTTCCCATTACGTTTTCACTGATTTTAAGTCCATCCATTTCTTCCCATACTTAAGCAACCGATACATTGTCATACGCCTTCTAAAGGTCAATGAAACCCAGATGAACTTCCCTACCTCTGCTTGTTCTCTTTTCTGTAAGTTGTTTCAATGTAAATATATTGTCTATGACCGATCTACCGGCAGTAAAACCACATTGTTCCCCTCCTGTTTTTCCTTTTATCTCTTCTTCCATTTTATTTCGTGTTATTTTACTATACGGTCTTCCTATCCAATAACTACTATTCCTCTGCAGTTTGTTTCATTGTCTCTAGATCCTTTCTTATGGATCGGTGGTACAGTTTATAGGGACCATATTTCAGTAATTCTGCCGGTATATCTCCCGCACCAGGTGACGTATTGGATTTCATGGCCTTCAGTGCTTTTTCTAAATCTTTAATTGTCAGATCTACCCATTGCTCAAATTTCACTTCCTTGTTTGACTGGAAGTTACTGTTTTCCAGCAGCAGTTTTTCGAAAAACTCTTTCAATTTATTGATTCTAATGTTTGATAGTGTGATATTCTTTTGCTTTTTTTCATTCGATTTAATAGATTTTATTACTTTCCAGGCTTCTGAGCTCTGTGTTCCACCTATGAATTGTTCTATACAATCGCAGATATCCAGCCACAATTTATTCTTCCTTGATAACACTTCTTGTTTTACTTCTCTACTTATTGCTTTGTACTGTAAAATAGTTCACGTTTTCTTGTCACTAAGCCATTTTTAAAACAGCTCTTTCCCTCTTAATAGTTTCTTCTAGACTTGTGTCCCACCAATACTGTTTCGGTTTTAATTTACAAGTACCTAAGCCTCCTCTGCGGCTTGGTGAATACATTCTTTTATGCGTTCATATTCTTTTTCTATTGGCCTGTGTTTAACCAATAGTTTAGTTTCAGGCCTTTTTCTGTAGAGATATGCTGTACTTTCATCGAAAAGACTGCTTAATTTGTATGTGGTAGGTTTCATGTTAAATCCTTCTTTATCTGTGTTGTGGTATGAATATTTTAGCAATTACCAAACAATGATCGCTACATTGAGCTTCCCATTTCATTCTAACATCTTATATTTTGAGTGAAGTTTTTTGCTTGGTTACACAGAGGTCTATTACAGATTTGAGGTTTTTTGTAGGTTGGTACCTGGTGTACTTATGAATATCTTTATGTTGGAAGAAAGTGTTATTAATTTTCATTTCATACTCTTCACAAATATTAGTAAGTCTTTTTTCATTGTAATTGCGAGTTTCCTCACCATGTTGACCCATAATACTGTTGTTCTTGTCTCTTACAATTCTGCCGTTAAAATCTCCTGCAAATATTATTTCAAGAGACTTTCAAACACCGTCAAGTGTTTCTTTAACTGTCATTTCAAAATCATCATTCTTAGCCATTGGGGCATCATCATTCAAATTGTATATTCCTATGATATGATTTTAACACTACTTTAATGAGACGTTTGTTTATACACTCCCGACTTTTTATACATTTACCGAATCTTTCACCAATATCAATAGAAATTCCGGCTTTGGCATTTTCGTTTGTTTATGTAACTGTAAAAGTGGATGTACTTTTAACAACTTGAGCAAAATGCCTAAACACATTTCTTAAAGAGAAAGCAGTCAATTTACATCAGAGATTTCCATCCTTTTTCTATCATCAACCTCTTTTAAAAGAATGGTTTGCTTCGTTGACCCTCCTACAGTTTCCTTATAATACACAGAAAACTACCTATTTGTAGCACAAATAATGACAAGTATTACATAAAGAACATGAATAAAAGTTTGAAAAAAAATATTAGAATTACCTTTTATTATATTTTGTATTATTATCATTTTTTAATTTTACAAATATAAACAAGTTTTCAGAAGCACAATCATAGATTCTATTTCAACAAAAGTTTGTTTTCCATTCCAGGAGCAAATTTGCATTTTATTAATAGAAACAAACGAGAAATATTAAATATCAGAGAACGCATAAATTATCAACTGCATTAATATTTTTTGTCATCAGTGGCATCTAGATTATACTGATCAGTCACTGCTGCACAATTGGCTCTCGACCTTGAAACAAAGTCAGCATTGTTAGCTGAATTGCTTAACTATGCTCTGTGAAGTCATGGAAGTTAAGCTACTCAAAACATCATGGATTCCTGGATGGGTAACTGTTTGGGAACCCCAGTCGGGAATTACTCCCGAGTCGCTGGTCGAAGAGATAGAAGGCATTGACTGATGTGACAATATAAAAATTAATTAAATAAAATAATTTAGCGACTCCCTTTAAAATGTCATTGAGCATTAGGGGGTTGATATCAACCCTGTTGGAAAGACCTGATTTAGATGATAAATTTCCATTTGTTTACGAAGATTTAGAATACACATTTTAACTTTTATTCCTTAGTTTTGTCCCTTCTAACAAAATTTGAAGGGGGTTGATTGACTCTGTCACATTAAGCTCTTCAGTGAATGCATCAAGTGATACCCAAATCCCTTTACAAAAACATAAGTTATGGACTGCAAGATATCAGTAATCAATTTGTTGATTTTCAATAAATATTGTTAATGTTTGCTTGCTTTATGAACAAATTTAATTTTATAGACTCATTTCATTTCCATGGGAAAAATGAAAGTCGTTGTACAGTAAGTAGCTAAACTGATTTATTGTCCACAATTAGTCTCATAAAATCAATTGAATCCACGTTCTTGAACATCCAATATCTGTATGTGTCTTATGAACAATTTGGTGCAAACTTACCCATTTCAATTTTGAAGTAGACATGTGCATTGCTGCCATTATGAATTCAGCCCATGAAGCCTACACAGGCAACTGTAAGATAAATATTACACTGCGCATCTCTATTTTTAGAGATTATTAGGTACATACAAACATAACACACAACAATAAATAAAATTTCTTTAATTTAAAATCTGTATTTAGACAAGTCCTCAAATAATGTAGCATTATTTTATTTTAAGATCTATAAGGGATTTACTTCTTTATAATGACTATTCTCATTTTTCTTGACAAAAAATACTTGTTTTCTATAAAATAATTTTAAAAAAATCAATTTTACTCAAATATAAAATTGATATTTTTCATAGTTTGTGTATATTTTCTTCTTTCCTAAAATTCTCTCAATGTACTACTCAATGTACACTAAAAACTATTCAATTAGGTATTCACTTTTATTGGAAGGATGAACTATGGATGATCATAATATAATTTTATTTGCACAAGATATGCATAAAAGGTTAGTAAAGGACTACAATCCACTGCATAACACATCTTCTTTATTGAGTCTGTTGATACATGTGTGACCAAAATTTATATTTGCATCTAAGAAGAACACAAGCCTCTGTTTCTGGGAAACTGAGGCTAACAAGCAACAGACAGCGATTTGAAGTACCCTAGAGAACACTCCCACTCTGTCATCATTTCTCTGCAGTTTATAACACACTTCATAAATTCATATACACACGTATAATCTACATCACACTTTCACTTCCACACCTAGCTCTTTTTCAGTGGCACAATATTCTAAAAGTTTTTGCAGCCACCTTATCATATACATGCAACTTTTACACAACTGCAGAGCAAAGTCTCTCATCACTGTTTCAGAGCTATTTAAAAATATAAATCAGTAAAAACAAAAATTCGATGACAATGTACAACCAAAGGACGTACTACTTTCCTCCTCAGTTCTCCCTTCATGCTGCATGTACACCACACATACATTCACATACACACGAAACAGACTGTTGTTCTCAGGAATCAAAAGTACAGTTAAAAAAATTAAGATAAGTGGAATGAACTAAGGTGGAAAAATACTTTTCACAAGCAGTCTTCTTTTAAGTGACATAGAGAGCTCATCTTCAACAGCACGTAGAAAGTTGTTAACTGTGGTCAGTAAACACAACACTTATGACATCCCTGCTACTTTACATCTTTGTAATTGCCATTGTTATTATAGTCGATGTCAGGGGATAGCACACGATAGCAGAAACAAGATTTCACTGACCAATTGTTTCCTTGTGCAAGTTTTATCAGATGACATAGAACACAATTTTCTTTTATAATCTTAAATGATTTCAGTTTGTCACGATTACATTTCTCCATTTTCTGTACCAGTGATACAAGACTTCCAATATAATTTCAGGCACAGCAATCACTCTGGTACTAATTTACATCAAGTGTTTCATTACTAACAAGGCCGTATTAGGTTCCTGTACTGCATATACACCATGTTTCTGCCTTAACTGGCAAAGAATTCCAATAGTCAATGTCATCCTGGGTATTTAAAAGGACATTGGTAAATTCGATGCTTTTAAACTGTTTATGCTGACGAAGATGAAGATGTAGAAGGTTTAGCATGTGTTCCATTTATTTCACTCCATCTTGTTTCAAAGAAAGATCTCATTGAATGGCCTGCTTTTCCTACTGGAGAATCATCTTCATTGAAAGTCTCACAGTTATTGAAGATTAGGCGAACATCAGCGCAAAATTCTTCACGTGATTTGTACCTGCAAAAATTGTGTATGATTAGGTTCTGTGCTGGAATATACCAGAGATTATAGAAGTAAAGAACCCCTTATTTGTTAAGTAGCTGTTGCTCAATAATTAAAGTGTTCTAGCATTTATTCTACCAAGAAATCCTTTAAACTAGTTCTAAGTAAGTTAATACCTATACTCCAACCAACTCGGATATTGAAAAATAATTCAAAATTGACAATCACAACATTAAGGTTCATCGATTTCGCTCTTAACCATTATGAAATCCAAAACATTAGAATTTCTCAGAATGGAGGGCTCAATGGAATACTAATTTAACAAAAACTAAGTGTTTGTGTATAATTTGTGAACACTTAAGATTTCATTAATAAATGCTCCTTTATGATACTTACACAGCATCTTGTAATTTGCGTTTGATGGTACTAAGATCCATAGGTGAACGGATGATTTTCCGATATGTGGGGAACTGTTTTGTATTAACGGGCAATAAAAATGGCCATGCTTCATCATGGGCCTCTAAATCTTCCAGCAAGGCCTTGCAAGGATTCAAATCTCGAGCTAGTTTTTTGCTCATGCCGCTACTGCTCCCAGTTGACTGGCCTCCTGAGCTCGAGCTGCCAGTTGGGGTAGAAGAAGAGGAGCCACTATCTTTCCCCCGATCCTTGCGGCCAGAGGCACTCCCAGACGTGTGAGGGCTGGGAGATGCACCAGGTGTGCCTGGTGCACCTTGGGTGTGGTCATCACCAGATGATGTGTTTGGAGGACTACAAACACCACAAAGACACAATTTACTAACAGAATGCCACTTTTTACACCAATCATAAACTTAATTACCATATTTGGCTTTATTAAAGATTTTTCTGGAAACATTTTGTAATCCTTAATAAACTGCCCTTTTATTAAGAAAACATTTTAAAAATTGTTTTTAAACAATAGCCCTCACTCATCAGAATGTTGTTCACAATGGATTACATCATCTTCAAATATTTGAAGCAATTCTGTACAAATATACTCTTAGAAATTAATGGCACTACTCGTGGGAATAAAACTTACTTCTTATCCAGACAATCTACAAGATTACATTCCATGTTTGGTTAGAAGATTGGTATTTCTCATTTACATACAAAAAAACCTGAATTTCCTTTCCTAAAATTAGGGAGATGGCTTATGAGTCTTATAAGCAATTAAATACTGTAATTATTTTTTTAATGCACATTTTTCACACTACTGGATTTACAAGACGTATTACATTTACAAACACTTATTGGTTTATAACAAATACTTTAAACACAATCTTCGTCTACCTAACAAATGAGGTTGTTTATAATAATTAAGTGAGCTCTCATTTCTTCTTGACTTTTTTATGAAACAACTCAGATAAAGTAGTCAAAATGATTGTCATTTTCTGCCCACCTGTTTATTTGTCTGTTCATCCTTTAATCAATTACTGAGAGACTGGACCAGAAGCAATGTTTTAGGAATGCTGAGTGAATTCCTTTTCCATCTCGTTCACTCTTCACAGTGTACGCAAAGAGTTGTTAGAATGAAGTTTCCACTTGAGTGAGAGTAATATTCAAACGCGATGTGTTGTTTAATTACACAGCCATATAGATCATTCCACGTCAAAATACAGCTGCATCATGATAGCTCAGATTTGTACAAAAGTCACTGAATAACTTATTTATATGAACACATTGTTTCAAGCCATTTTCTAACATAGTAGAATTTGTTCAGTTTTGGGGATATTACATAATCAGGGGTTTTGTCACCAAATTATATTTGTATTATTTATAAACCAAGAGTTCAAAAATTCTGCTCAAAATTGATTAATGCCACAATGTTTGTAGAGGTAAAGACTCTCTCCCTTTGTCAATTATTCTGATCAAAGACTGTTCTTTCAATGTGTATAAAGTTAGAATCAAAGATAATACAATACTACTGAACAAAGATGGATTCACATACCAAACAATTGGAAATGTTCTAAATTTTTAGAATGAAAATGGAAAACAATTCATTGATATACTAAAGAAACGGTAATATTATTCAGTACATATTAAGTAAATAAAATATAAAATATAGAAAACATTAACACTTGTTTCTTTCATCATTAAAAAAAACAACTGAACAACCATCCTCTAAATGTATTTGATATTCTCAATAACAACTCAAATTTAGAGTTGTGTTTAACTGGTTATAAAAAGAAACTGAAATTAATGTTTTCAGTAATATTAAATACTGGAATCATAAATGTATGCATGTAAAATAATGGATTAATCTCCATAAACTTGGTCATAATTAAATGTAAAAGACATAAATATGATGTTTGTAAAACTGCTTTCCTCCATTAACTTTCTTTGTATCAACCTAAATTCCATTTTGAGCATACTTTGTTGTGCCTTACACAGCTTTTCTATTAATTACTTGATGAAATTTTCTTTTGATATATTCAGTGTAATAGCTATTCACTACACATCTCTTGTGTCTTTTATTAACTCTTCTCGACAGATTTTTGTGAATATTGTTTTACCCTTATGATCACTCTCAAAAGAGATTTCAAGAAATTAATTGAGAACTTCACTCTGGATGTAAGTAAAAAAATGCACTTACTTATGACCAATCAAATCAATTTGTAGACTTAGCCTTTAGACTCCCAGACAAGTATACAGTCATTTCAGGAGGAAAGATCAATGCTTTGGGAGGTTATAGTACAAGTCATTCTAAGAAGATAAGTCCAAATGAATACACAATATATGACAAATGATTTTTAAGATAAAGCTGTTTGAATGTGTGTGTGTGTATATATATATATATGTATATTAGATATCATATCATCATACTTACATACTGCTACTTTATAATATAGTTCACTCTGGTTCATTAAAAAAAATTAAAAATAAAAATTCTACAATCCTTTCATTTAACCCTTTAGTGATCCAACTGTATACTATTTTTAAAATGGCATAACTTTGTACCTTCCAGTTTCATGTCCCTTTTGTGCGTCTTTTGCTGTCTTAATTGCGCATATTTCAGTTTTCTTTGCAAGACATCAAGTATCAACCAATACGGTTCAGGTGCAATTAGTTACTGAACACCCAATAAACCATTCGTGAAACTTTTTTTTGGTTCAAATTTTTAATAGATTTTTTGTTGCTACATTAAAAAAAAATTGTTAATAGCTTTTATGAATTTTTTCATGTAATAATGCCCTATTACTATGTCTCCTATGACAGCAGTAGATCTTCAAAGAAATTTTCAACACTTGAATGTATGCATCACTCAAGTGTAGTTATCAAGCAAATACAAAAAGTAAAGTAGCACGAAGATTATCTCTGGAAGAAATATTTTTGATTATGTAGTGTAGCTTTGGTGATAAAAGTTACGTTGTACCCAAGTTTGCTGGTTCAAATCCAATCAAAGCTGCAGATTTTTAAGGGGGAAAAATCCTTCTTAAGCATGTAAAACATCCTCAAGCCTAATACAAGCTGCTGAACTAAATTCAAATCAGCTGTTTCATCACCCGAGGGATGGTGAAAGGAGCGTAGCATAATTTGCATGGTCAGTCAGAAGAGCTGGCCTGATGGCCCAAGTCTTTCCAAGTTAAATAAGGCATAAAATGAACTTTTCATAATAAAATTTTACAACCAAGAGACACATTAATAGTAATTTTTGATCAAGAGAGCTAAGAACAAAAGTAAAATGAAACCTCTGTGCAAAACTGAAGGCTCGATGCTATGATGGATACACATGAATACACGCCAGTACAAAGTACCGCAAGTCCCAGCAGTCAGAAATGCAAAAAGAGTCATGTCAGAATTGTAACATGTCAACTTATACCGAATATGTAAGTTTCTGATTGCAAGCATTGTTAAGACAGAAAGAACTGAAGAAGCAGTCTGAAAGTGACAGACGGCTGTACAGATTAATATGTTAAGAATGAAATAAATAAAATGGGGAGTACATGAATAATAAATATGTTTTAATTTTTGTTGTTTCTTTTTTTCAAATAAACTACCTTCATTTATTAGAATTTTTCACTTCACCTTTTTTAAAAAACAATAATGATCCCTCAATACTTGTTTTTACTTATACATTCCTCTTTCCTTCAGAAGACATGTATTCATTGAGATTTATTCCAACTATTCCAATAAGTGGATTTAAAATATTATTTCTTTGTTGTTATGAATTAATTAGCAATGTCATTGTTTTAAAGAGAACTGTAACCTTGGGATTACACAAACCTTGCAGGACCATTGGTATTGTATTCAGACAGGACCAATGCAGGGTTAAATTCCAATGTTAATATGAAGGTATTTGAAACTTTAGTTATTAGTCTTGTGGTACCAAAATAATAAATTATCAAACAAAATTAGTAGACAATATCTCCTTCAATACACACATTTTATAATATATTAATTTCCAACAGCTATATCCCAAAACCATTTGAAATATATCACCTGCTAAGATGAACTTCTCTTCTCAAAACTACTAATGTTATTATCTCCTAAAATACTGACCTTGCCTTCTGATATCTCCTGCATTACAGAAAAGAAATTTACAAATTAGGTGTACACAGAATAAGGATTGAATTATAATAATGGTTACATAGTAAATATTAACAATTTTACTCTCTTTTTAAATAAATCAATTACAATTTTTGCCTTGGTGAGATGAGACAAGAACCACAACAGTGGATTTACGAAAATATTTTCTATAACTTAACAATTACCAGAAATAAAATAAAATATGGGTGAATTATTCACATACATGCCTCAAAGACACAACACTTTCTACTGAATAACTTGTTTAACATATTAACACATTGCAGATCTTTCTCGATTGGTATCAGTTTTTACCTGCCTCAATTAGTTCTTCCACCATTGTACATCAGAATTTGCTACACTCCCTTACGCCTTGTGTGAACAAGTGACAAAGCAGTATCATGAAAAGAAGAGTCAGCTCGTTAAACTTTTTAAAATATTTGAACAACCTATTTGTCTTATATTTTCAAAGAAATACTCTTATTGAAACCCTTAATTTTCTGCAAGACTCCTAATTCATTATAACATCAAAGTTATAGTAAAATTAAAAATAAATTGGGAAACAAAAAAGAAAAGAAAAAAACACTTTCAAGAGCACTAAGATATGATCTAAAACATATTTCATGAGTTCAAAATCCACATTCTGCATAAACGATACTACAAATCACTCAGAAACAAAGGGAGAGTAGTATCAAAACAACACAGCCTACAATGTGTTAATAAGTACTTTTGTCACGTCAGAAAGGTCAAGCATTGCCAGGAGCCACGTAGATATTCTTAATTGATACTGTTGTACTCTGCAATTGCTTTACCTTAGCACCAAAAAGAGGCATTGAAGAGAGTTCTTTAACTCCCTGGAATAATATAGGGTACTTATTAAAGAGCAGGACGAGTGGATCTGTTCTGGATAGTCAGGGATGCAGAAAAATTTCATACATCCCAACTGGAACCCCGGCCATCCAACTCAGAGCCAGTCACCCCACCAACCGAGATGCAGCTTGTTTATTATGCGTTTGAAATAGCCCTGAGAATGTCAGATTCATCAAGTAAAAAAATGACATTTTTCCCCCTTTTTGTACTCGATTCGCCCGTTCTAAGAGAACTACAAAATTTTCACAGCCTTATATTCTCTCTTTTAATTTTCAAAAATATACTAGTCACACAATTTTGCTATGTCCCGACTTCCTACGTTTTCCCTTATTTATTATTTTTACAACACACCTTGTAGGAGCAGCATGATCACTGCTTTCACTATCTCGATGCTTCTCTGCTCTCTCTGAAGCTTTTTCGGTATTAGCATGGGAAGTTGATGGCGTTGCCGAGCCACGTGGCTTACGACCAGAGCCACTACCACCACCACCACGTCTCCGAGGAGCACGAGTTGCACATCCTGAACAGAACCACTTGCCTCGTGGCACTTTGGCTAAAGCAGGCTGAAGACAATCTGTGTGATAAGCACGTGGACATGCTTCACAGACTACCAGGTTGCGGCCTGCACGTTTTCCACATACAATGCAGTTGCGCTCCCCAGTTGCCTTATTCATGCATTCGAAGCAGTACCTGAGAAACACAATACAAATCATTAGAATAATTGTTTAACATATCTTGATAATGTTTTATGTTACAGAAGTGGCATTAGAGCTTTATCACCATGAAACTATTAGGCTCAATAAACGAAACTGCATCTTGTCCTTGTCTCAAACCATTTGATCTTTTAACAAAGTAATATATTTCTAAGAAATAATATAAAGAAATGTTTTCCACTATTATAACACATCAGAAAATAGTTTAAGAGTTTTTGAACCATTTGTTTTGATCAAGAGAAAACTAGCTGAGCTTCAACGGCACATACTTTCTCATATTATTTGTAATGGTTAGATATTACTCGCGCAACTTTTCTTGAACGATGACCTTGATCCCCCTCCCTTGTGCAAGAAACAGTTGAAGGCAAAAGCTCGCATAGAGCACTGATGACAACCTTCCAAGCATTAAAACTTTGTTGGCGCGAAACAGAAGCTAGTCAAAGCCAGTTGCTTTCATAGTGCAGCACTCCTGTTCTGATTTAGTGTCAATATCGAAAGAAATGGCTGAGTCAAGTCCAGTTCCGTCAAGGGAGTCACCTAAAACTCCCGAAAAAGTTAAGCACAAGATGCAGTTTTGACTTTCATTTCACAGACGTTGGCATTACTTAAAATACTCTACTGGCCAACTTTGTTACTAAAACCCCCACTCCACCCGAAATCGTCAATCCATCTTTCAAGAAAAGTTGCCCGAGTAATAATATAATATTGGTTGAAACTGTGCAAAAATGTTGCTCTTTTGAACTCAACACAATGGGCAGAAAAGGGTTACTTTACTTAGATAATGCCTAATTGACCCAACACATGCTTCTGCAATTGTTCCCATCCCATAAAAATGCCTTGTATGTGATTTCAATACAAGCAATACATGTTCAATTCCATTCAAGTCATGATATTGGATGGCCACGAGTCTAAAATTTACAGATCAGTTTAAAATTTGAAGGGCCTCAAGTGTGGCCAGATCAATTAGGGAATAACCAATACAGAGAAAACCCTTGAGTAGGGTTTAGGCACTAGTGTTGTTCACAGACAAATGGATGGGAAAATAGAGGTTTTGTAGTAAAAAAGGAATAAAAAAGAAAAAATACACTGAACAATTTTTTCAATATCAGGGTCCCCCAAAATATTGAGATCAATTTCTTCCAGCATTACATAACTTTCTCTATATTCAGTAATTTATGGAATATATTAGTAGTATACTATGGAGTACAGAGTGTCTCATACTTTATATACCATACTCTTTTATACACTGGAATATACAGAGTATGTACATAGTATATACGAAAGGAACTACAACACTTGTATTATTTATAATGGTTAACTTAATATTATAATATTGCAAATTGTATCCTACTAATTCTTCAGCCATCTCTTGGAAAATTCTCTTTGTCAAAAAAAATGTGGAGATTCAAATTTGCAAGTTTTGGAGATTTGATATTTTTCTAAGATTTGGAATTAACAAAATTTCATGAACTTTTAATATTTAATGAAAATTGGACTTGTACGGTTTTTATCAATGCACATTGCTGTATTCAAGAAAAAAATTAGAAGAAAACAATTTTTTCCCATCCAGCGATTTGAACTGCCATGAGAAGTCCATGTCTCTACTGTTATGTACAACCACTCAGCATATGTTAACAAAAAAGATATATATTTATATAAAAATATTTTGAAAAACCTTCATAAGAGATTATTTGAAGCATCTGTATCCATAAAATGCAATAAATTATAAAAGGGTATTTGAGCGATCTACTGGTTTTGTGTGGAATGCAGAGTTTACTTGTTAATGAATTGTCCCACCACACACAGAAAATAAAAGTGCAAAGCCACTGTTGAGAAATTTTTGTTCACATATTTTGGGAGACTGTGACAAGTTCACACAAAACTACATTTATTTTAAAGAAATAACATTTTCAAGAATAAACAAATCTCTACCCTACAATGTAAATTGAAGATAGCCAAAAAAATGAGAACTTTTGCAATTTTTGAAAATTCAGAGCTTTTAATGGAAATCAGACCTATACTATATTTTTAAATGCTATTTACCCTTTTTGGCACAAAATTCAAAGACAAAATTTATATTTATACTACTATATATACACTGTAATAATATACAAGGAACAAAAAAACTATTGAAATAAGAATCAGTACCCGTGCAATGAAATAAAACTACCCCAATTCAAGTTTGTGTATTTCCATTACACTTGTACTAGTTATAAATATGATGTAAATTATGGCTTGAAAGCTCAACTGAAGCTATATTGGTACATCATGGATACCCAGAAACCTGCAACTTGAGTTGATTCATTTCTCAATTTAGCACTTCAAAGAATTTGAATGTCATGTAAAATTATATATAATATATATTACATTAAATTAGTACAATATTTTCACTACAATATGCTATTCTACAGGCAAAGGCAAATGAAACAAACAAATAAATGACAAACTTATTTACCAGTCACCATCTGGAATTTGTTCCATCTTTGGTCGGAAGCAGTAGGTATGATAACCCTTGTCGCAACCATCGCACAGTAAAAGCTTATCTTCATTGTCCCCTGAGTGACAAAACTGGCAATTCTGAAACAAACACACATTTACCATTGCAGTGACAAACATTAAACAGTTTTTCTATGAAACCATTCTCCATAAAAAAGTAATCGCACATTGCCAAGAACCAACCATAATGAATATGTAAAATTGATTTTAATACTGTCATTATTATTTGAATTCATTTTCATTTTCATTTTCGCTTTCTAACTATTTTCCTGGTAATATGCGGACTTAACACGAGAATGGATCAATTCAAAAACAATACACATGCAAGATTAAGTACAACAGCAAAACATCGACACGGGCCAGTGCATGAGTTCTTCACATCACTCAGCTGTCTGCTTTCCAGCTAAACCATGGAACATCAATGCAGCAAGCAAAAAATTAATTCTACTCAAAATGACGAGTGTTTAGATCTTTGAAATTATGAAATCAAAATATTTGGCAGCATAATGAAAACATAATTGCCTGTGTCAGTTCAAAAATAAGGCACAAAAATGTCAGGAATGTAAAGCTTAAGAAACCATAGTTTCGATATTATTTCATTCAATATATTATCACCATCTGTCAATAATTTAAGCAAGTCATTTAAAGTAGAATTAACTGCATTAGCCAAACTGAATTCTTATTTACACAATCACTTGTTCTCTTATTTCTACTCAAATCTTCTCTTTTCAGGCAGAAAGGCATTACATATTATGAAAAAATACTGAAGGAAAATATTTATATTTAAATATGGCAAAGTCTTGTGCTATTTTCACAATCAATTTTCAGAAATACAAAATTTACATTTGAATATTAAATTTTCTGATTCATTCAAATATAACCAATTTGCTCCATTTGGTTTCTTGCTATTATTTAATGAGACAAATCTTCAATTTACACAAGAATGAAGAAAAGACAAGATGTTCTAGATTAGTTTCGTCAAGAGACAAAAAAATAAATAAATAAATAAATTTAAAAAAAATGCTTTGTTGAATTGTACGATATGTAATCATACTCAAAATTGTTAATATTTTCATCTTTCGAGATTTATGCATGTTAATAATGGAAGTGCTTGGACCCATTATAAAACAATAAAACAAGGAAGATATTTAATACAAATTTCAATTTTTGATATATTATCAATCTGAATTTTATGACATATTATCAAGAGAAAATTAAAATTCCATGAGAATGAAATTTCACTTACACTAATCTAATCATATAAATGTTATGAAGTTAAGTGAATATAGAACAAACATAATTTATTAAACATTAAATAGTTTATTATTTAAATTAACACTTTTTTCTTAATATGTAATAAGCCAACAGCAAAATAGCACATGGCATAGAAGATGTGGTAGTGTGTACGTTTGATTATTGTTTACAGGCACATCAACTACTTAGGTCATTGATCCCATGAGTAGAGTGCTTGTTATATTATGGGAGGTGGCAGTGTTCCTTCAAACAGGAACGTGAGATTCAATGCCAACCTCCACATTGGTTTGAAGGGTTTTCCCTCCTTCAGGTATTTCCCTCAGTGGGGCACCACTACAGCAGCTGTAAGCTCTTAACATATGATACAAATATGAGCCAATAATTTTAAAAGAAACAACTTTTTTTCCTTCCAAATTTCATTATTGAGTATTTGATATTTAAAAATGAATCTCTATTTCTCTAAGTAATTTGAAAGCTTGTTCATTGTTAAATGTATTAATTAGATTTTCTAGAATACTGCTTCAAACACAGACTTAAATGATTTTGCATTATAACAATTCATTTAAGTAAATTTCAAAATTTTAACCACCTTAAATAAAACTATTATAATTTTTAGGGTGCATTTCTCTCACTTAGAACAAAGTTACTCTCCAATCACATTAAATGTGTTGATTTATGATTGCAAAAAACAAATGACTGATCTTATTGATATCAAAAAACAAATGATTGATCTGATGATACAATCAAGAAGTGTTCTTTGTTGGGTATTTATAGTTTTCTTAAGCTTGATGTTTTTACAATATTTTTTACTAACAAATTGTACAAAATGAGAGAAAAGTTGATCTAGTCAGTGTAGCATCATATTTATTTATTTATGTATATCTATAAATGTATCAATAAATTTAAATTCAGTTCCAAATTTGAAGTAGCATTGAGAACAAGTGTTGTAAATTGCATCAGTAAAGCATTTATAACATTTCTGCAAGTGCATAGTGATTCTCAGATGTCATATGTTTAGAACATAGAACAAGAAATGACAAAAAAAAATTGCTACATCAAAAAGAACAATGTACGTGTTCTTTTTGAATGTCTAAACACTGAAATGCTTAAATACACAGAAATCCATTACAATACAAAATAATATAGAAATATCTTAAGCAAATATAAATCCTACAGAAGTGCACATTGATACAATAAAAAAATTATAAAACACACTCAACATTTAAACATAAAGATAATAAAAATCTCTGAATATTAATGACTATTTTTTTACAGTCAAAAATTCACAAAAGCACTTTAAAAAATTTAAGTGTATCACAAAACTATTTATTTGCTCTACAATTGTGAATCATCAACAGTCTCTATAAAACATCCTAACAATTTTTGAACAATTACCAATGGCCACAGACAAGCTTAAGAAATCGATCCCTTAAAAGGTCATTTAAATGTGAGATAAGTAGAGCTCCATGCAACCTTATACTATAATGCAGTTTAAGGTTCACAGGATAATAATCAGTAAACTTCTTTTTATCCCTTCTTTCTCAGATAAATAAAAAAAAAAAAGACACTTCAATAATACAAGCTTAATTCCTCTCATTTCCTCTTGCCTTGTGGAAAGGATTTTCTAAGCAAAAGAAATTTCATGATTTTTTAAAATAATTTCTAAGTCCAATTCTTGATTCACTAATGACTAACAATCAATTGTGTAAACAGTTGTCTACAATTTACCACTTAATACTATTATCTTGTGTCCTAATAATATACCAACTTGACTTGTTATTATGTTAAAACTTTTAGTATAAAGTGTAGGAAGACACTCATACAAATAAATTCCTCTTAAATGATATGACCAACTTTCTTTACTTAGTCCACTCAAGCAACATTTAAAACATAAGGCCGAGACTGAAATTCACAAGACAAAAACTGAACCGAAATTTTGCAGGGAGGAACTAAATAGCAAAGTGCTTCCTTATTTTACCATCTGCAGAAGGGTTAAAATTTTGATGCATTACCTAATTCCACTAATCAGAAACATTGTAATAAAATTGTCATCTTACAAGCAATTAATAATACGAACTAGGGCTGATATGTGGCCACGATATTAAAGTAAACATGACTAAATGTTCTCAGAAAGTGAACGAGGTGCATGGAGCTTAACAAAACAATCCTTTCAGAGTAACCCTTTGGACTTTATGTGATGTTGTAAACCAGCCAATATGTAGGAAATACAGGATTGGAAAAGAAAGGAGAAGGAACATGCAGGTAAAGTGTCATCTGAATGCCGCCACTTGCATCAGTGAATATAAGCCCATGCCAGAAGGCGGCATGCAAAAACTGAAGTGTTCATGCCGAGTATTGAAAAACATTCAAGCTGTAGAGGTGTGTAGGCACCATAAGCAAATTGGGCATGCACAATTATATTATTATTCAAACATTTCATCACAATCATTATAGGCATGAAAATAAATTTTTAACATTACATCTCTTCTGATATTCTATAATAAATCTATTTCTTTGAAGCAATTGACATTATTAAATTTTTTACATGTACATAATCTTACTATGTTTTCAAATATTAAATCAAATTTCAGAAGATATATATCTTCATATTCATATTTACTGATCTAGTTTCTTACTTGTTTGAACTAATACAACCTTGTGTCAAAATATTATATATTTTTCAACATCCCGTACATATAGTAAATAGTATTTTTTTAAATGCTTTTTTAAACTATGGCAGGAACCACTAATTGAATTTAAGAAATGTTTTCTAAAAACATTAACAAGAAAGCATGATATAGTTTTCGTAATCTATTACTGATTTACCTTTCTTTCTGCAAGTATTCAATTTTATTAACACACTTTTTTATGTTCTTTTTTTTTTTTTTTTTTTTTTTTAAATCTATTATTTTCCCTATCATTGAATTGTAACAAAATAAATATTGTTCTTCATATCTATTAAAAATTATAAATATACAGTTGTAAATGTAATTATTTAAAACATAGCACAAGCTAACACTCATGCTTGCACTTCACGAGCATGTTAGAAAAGCTGCCGAATTCACGAGCGTGTTAGAACAGTGTACATTAATGTGCTTTGAGATAACAGTTATTGCATGCCCAGTTTGATCTACATATTCTGAGTTGTGTTGTGATAGGTTGCTTCAATATGATCAAAATAAATTATTTTTGATTTAATAATATTAGGTTGTTAAAAGGAAAAAATCTACTAAGTTTCTATACATTACGTAATTCTTGGTGTATTTCACAATTTTATAAAAACTGAAAATTGCGAATATGTGTGCAAAAAAATATATTGTAAATGTAAAAGGGACAACTAAAACTATGAAGATTTATAAGGAATCAACGTAGTCTTGGCTGTCCTCATTATATCACTGAATTAAAATATTGCATTATAAATATGAACTTTTAATAGCAGATACTTCTCATGTGAAAGATCTGTATAAGCATATTAATGCCAATAATCATCTATTAAAATCAAATGTGCAGGGTCTCCTTAGATATGTTTACAAAATGATCTGAAAGATGCAGCTGAGTTTCTTAAATCCATGTGGATTTATACCTTCTAAACAAACATGAGGTACTGAAATTCTGTCCAAACAACTTCAGATAAATTTTTTAGAAATCTGTCACCTTCCCATGAAGACATTTTAACTTTCTGAATACAAGAAAAAACATTTAAGTATTAAAGAAAATTTAAAATGTCAACTCACAATTTTAGAGGACACACACTTACGTCAAAAATAATTAATTAATATATAATAAACAATGAAGAATATATCAATGAATACTTTCAAAAGATTTGGAGGAAAAGTATGATTTTAATGTAAATAACACATGATTCATTAAAAAAAACCATAAATTTAATTTAAAGAAAGAGTTAGGAATTTGAATAATGTTCATTTCTGCCTTTTACAGGACAGCATTTTGAAAAGAATTGAATGAACATATAATAAAAATCAGCATGCATGGCTAAGTTCTGTAGAAACCTTCCACATGACAATTTCCATATCGATAAAATCAGATTAGCAGGAATCAAATGAAGCAACCCACGCATGTTGGCAAATTGCCAGTATTTGGGAAAGTGGTTTAGAAATGTTAGTAGTGTACCCGTTCACCTAATCAGCAGCATTAGAACTTAGGCTGAAAATAATTAATGTATTAATAATCAAAATTAATAAATCATTTACATAATTCTAAACAGAAGAGAAAAGAACAAAGTTAACAAAGTTTACTAGGGTCTGATGGAATCCTGGAAAATTAGGTTAGATTCACTCCATAAAACAAGCTTATTGTTTAATAAACTTGAACAGAATTGTTTAATAAACTTAAAGTTTGTTTTACAGAGATTAGATTATGACAATGTTCATGCCATTATGACACTATTACAATGTGTGATACTAAACTGCTGAGACAATTCTCATTTCAAACTTAATAACTAGTTTATTGCCTGTAACAATGTTGTGAGCTCTTTCATACTAATATTAATACTGAAGTCCAATTTTAAGAATCAATGAAAAAGGCCTCAACCAATTATCATCAATTTAATTCATCAAATTTCTTTCAAACTTAATCCATTGTCATTAAAAAGTTCTCGTAGAAAATTCGGTGGATGAATTCTTAAAATGTATTGTATATGTATACATGTATAAACAGTTATAAACAAATAAAATATCAAGATACTACATTCATCTCCATTCATTCATATGAAATATATTAATCTAGGCTGCACATTCACACATTCTCAGTATACATTGTTACAGCCAAATATAGTATTTAAGTGCAAAACTATTTAAGTAATTCTCATCTGCAAATATTTTGATGGCAAGCTTGCTTTTCAGTGCCATATTGGCAGTCTGAATATCATGGAGGAAACTAATTTTAAACAATATAAACTCAAGAATAATTTCATTAAATACCAAAGGTACAAAATATAAATATAGTATTTGTGCAAAAACAAAAAATTCAAAACAGGTTTTTGGCATTGTCATTGACAAACAATAGATTATATCCACCATGATATTTCAGTTCTGATGGGAGGGGAAGAAGTTAGTTTAAATTAATAACAAAGAACAGGAGGGTCAAGGGAGCAAAGTAGAACAGAGCTAATGTGTGTGATATGACTAGACAGATCAGGCATCATCCAAGATTTTAGATCTTGCACTGATGCTGAAGGTAACAAATTTTTGTACAAGTATTTCATTAATCAAAATTTTTGGAAGAAATGACAATGTCAGTTGACATCAATCAATCTAAATGTTTAAACACCCTACAACTACTAATAAAGTTCCCTACAGCATAATGCAGTTAATTATTTTCTAGTTTTATTTTGCATGCTCAAGTCCATTGACTCAATGTTTAATGAACTTCTGACTGAACAGGCAGTAAATATAAACGGAATTCTTACAAGATTGGTAGACTGAATAGTAAGTTCAGAACTTCAAATCTTCTAGATACTGTGAATGATATGAAATGTTTGCTGAATCAATGAATTGTTTTAATTATATTCTTTAATCAAAACTTGCTTAATACATTCTAATGAAAAACAAATTCTCGCAATCAACTTCATTGTACAATGTCCTCTGATGCCACTTTGCATAAGACTCTTAGACAAGAATGTGTATCAATTCTGAGATGGACACTTGCTAAACAAGGCAATAAAATAACTTTCATGACTACAAGATTATAGTTGGTTCACCCATGTGAACAATTACTTTGACACTTGTTAATTTCAAACTAAATTGGGGGTTTGGCAAGAGAAGAAGATTCGTTTCTCGAAGATTGGTCAACTTGTGTTGGAGCTGTAGTACTTCCTATTATTTACATTCCCCCAATTGGAGAATGATAGTATGAAAACAATTTATTTATTTGATGTGATAATTCAAGAAAAGTACACATCAAAACTTAGATTTAAAGAAATATTACTTATATAGATTATTTTTACCAAAAAATGGTGAACTCCAATGTAAGTTGAAAAAGTGATGAAAATGAACAGTACAAGCCCTTTGATAATTGGTAATTGTCCTGAGCTGTCCATTTACCCTTGGATGTGAACAATCTTACTTTGAATTTCTCTAAGAACTCGTTTTAATATTTTCACATACTTTTCAATGTGATTTGTATCAAGTGTTGAAATATTCTTTTCAGTGATGATTAGACCAAACTAAATCACACATAAAAATGGTCCATAACCATCAATAGCACTATCTGAACTAACACTTCTGAGGCATCTGCTTTGAGACACTGAGCTCATCTGGCTGATGGAAGAATTTTGGAGTGTAAAACGGTTTCCATTGAAGTTCAACATGACAAAATCATTATCTGCATGCCTGAACCGAGTATATGAATGAACATTTTTGATTATTAGTAATGATCAACTGCTGATCCTTTTTTAACTTAATTTTAACAGATTTGGGATCACAATTATCTTGAAATTCACAAGAAAAACTTTAAACTAACAAATGGATTAAAAATTTTAAATTAACAAAGAATGGGTTAGATATTTTAAATACATTTTATATTTAGAAACTTTAAATATAATTTGGTTTCAACACCTTTTTCTCAAAATCGAATACACCTACTTCATTTTTTGAATCCTCTTTATATAGAGAGTACTTGTAAATCAAGTGTTCAATTTAAATATAAAATCTCATGTACACCACAAATTTGGTATAACTAGTTCCAAAAATCTTGTCCATCTATACCACACACATTGCATAGTGAACTAAGTGAAAGAGAAGGGTAAAGATCACATGAAAAACTAAATAAAATAAAATACAAACAAACGAAAAAGCAGCGGTGTCCGAGCCGTGCGGCAACATCGGCCGCTAAGCGGCGCATCACCAGAGCGATACCCACACTAGAAGCGGCAGAGGAGTTTTGGTTGTGTTGTTGTTGTTGTTTGCCCCCGGATCGGCTGGTGCGGTTCCGCCGAGCACCGTGATGCAAACTCACTGCTTTCATGATGCTCTTATCCCAGGCTACAGATGCCTCCAGAGAGTAGAGTGCCATGGCAAGCTGGGCAGATGTTCTGGCTCGCGTCACTGCATCCCGCCACACCACAAGCCCCTTGGGCAGATCAGCTTCAGGACCAAGGTTTCCAATGCAGGGCATGCTGCTTCCACTGCCACCAGCAGAAGTAGCACCAGCTGAGGAACCAGATGCAGATGACCCACATCCGGAGTTGCCTCCTGAATTGCCGTCTCCACTTCCAGAGCCACTTGTGGAAGCATTTAGACCCGGAAGAGTTACATCTCCAGTGCTGAAAATAATCACACACACTAGATGCATTGAGTGCTACACAATAGTGAGCATAAAACTACAAAAAACATTTTTAGACCAACAGAGGTATGAAAAAATTCTGTGAAATAACACACAACATAATGTATTCATATATTTGATTTATAAATAATACAAAATAAAACATGGCCTAAAAACATGATTCAAGATACACACATCCCTTAAGAAAAGGAGTTCCTGATATATTTATTTAGTCAATTGATACAATGATGCAAGAAAAACATTTTGTACAAATTTTACCATCAATGTATAATTTCCTAAAAAATATTTACATTAAATAAACATTATATTTGAGAGCTCAGTTGATTCTAAATAATAGTAATTAAATGTGATGTATGAATCAGAAGGGACACTGAAGAAGCAATTCAAAATACAAGAAATACTTCCATTTAAATAGAAACGTTTATTTCTTGGAGCTGTTAACCTTTAAATTTTTTCTTCTACAGTTTCGGAAACATGATACAATGAACATGTGTAGAATTGATGTCCATAAGTTGATAACTGAATTCTATGATAAAGTCAGAGCTGAAGAACATGTATCAGATTCTGTAACACTTTGCAATGTATATCTTAGAATGTACCTGATTCCAAGAGGTGGCCGCAGATATCTCCGCTCAATAGCTGCCTCCAAAGATAGAAGTCGTTCCTTGGCTAATGCAACAGGGTCTTTTCTTGTGTCATTAGGGCCATCTAAAGGCACACAAGCTGGTCTGAAAGAGACCCCCTCCTCTGTTGTGGCTCGTTGTGGCACCTTCCAACCCTAATAGATAACATTGTGTGTAAAAAAAAAATTCTTTCCCATGATACCCCCTTATAGCTACTTTATCCAAATTGAAACTGGTTTGCTACTGCATTAAACAAACAATAATTTTCTATTCTATTTCATACAATTATAACAAATAGCTCAAGAACTATGTTATGATATTATGTTGAGCTTTAAAAATATTATATAATTTGAGTTTCTGTTTCTTTATTCAGTTTCCTTTAACAAATTAAACTTTTCCTAGCAAAGGAGACAAAATTACTAAAAAGAATTGTTTGAAAGACAATTCTCAGAGAATTCCTTATCTAAAATAATGCTCTAGAGTAGATATATACAAGGGTATTTACCTTAACCTGCATGCTGGCATTGGCAACTTTATCTTCTAGGGCTTCAACCTGCTCTAGTAACTGCAGGTCTACCCGGAGAGCTACATGAGGGCTCCAATCTGATGGTTTGTCTTGAAGAGGAGCACCTCCCGGAAGGGCTGAGACCTTACTGTCTGCTTCTGTTATGGCTAAATCCACAGCACCCGGGCCTGCTGAACTTGTACTTGCCATTCCACTAAGACTGCCACGATGTTCACGCTCCCCACGTCCCTCTCCTCCACAGCCAGGTAATACTGTCTGCTGGAATATAGTACAGAAAAATTAACTAATTTTCCAACTTTTGAGGGTGATTCTGGAAGAGAGATTTTAGTATTGTAGACACCAAACCAAAGAATATGTATTTACACATATGTGTATATGAGTATATCTTATTTACACATATTCGAAAGGTTCTCAAATGAAAATGATGTTTTATATACCAACGGCAATATTTTCTTTCCTTTTCTTTAACCCAACAATAAAGCTTGTATCAAAACCTTTTCACAATGGCTGGCAACATATGTGTTTCTCAATAGAAAAACAAATTTTCACATGAAACTTTAGACATTTTTTCAAAATCCTTTCATCAATCATTATTTTGTTGAAATCTTAATTTGGAATTTGTCTGGTGATAATGTGTGTTTGTATGATAGAAATTTAAAAAGGATAATAAGAACATTCCAAAACCATTTAAAAAGATAAACACAAAAGTCAACTCAATATTTCAACTTAAATTGAATAATTTTTAATACATTTTTTATCAAACAAACAAGGAAAAAGAAAGTAATATAGAAAACAAAGTTAAAAAGACATTTAACAAAAGTGTTTAGAAATCAGAAGTGATAAATTAGTTCTACCATCTGTATAATAATACTGTTGTAAACTTTGGTAACACAATTGATAATAATGGTGAAGATACAGAATAGTAATTGTTAATTTCAGAAAATATTTCATAATTTCCTCTTTGAATGTTTTTAAAATTGCATGTTTAACATAGCTTTCAGAGAGTTTATATTATTACAATTAAGGAAAGTCAGTATACAGGTTGCATATGTTTTGTGAGTAAAAACTGCCACGTGTCAAAAGAGTATTTGGCACTGCAATTCCAACAACAAAACAAATATACACTAGTTCAAAGATCATGATGAAAATGCAGATCATGTAATAAATCACAGTAATTACAACTCACAGAAAATTAAATAAAGCCAAAGTGAGAATTTTTTTATTGTTGTTTAGTTAAACATCTGTTGTAATATACATCCAGAAAAATATTTGCAATTTAAAACTATTTATTTACACACACACATTCACAATACTCATAAGAAAAATGAATTGTGAAAGTAATCTCCTGTAACCCACTCAACAAACAAAAAGAATGAGGAATATTTTCAGTCACAGCTAACAAAGCATTTTGCACCTATTAAAACTCAGAAAAATGGTGCCCAAGAAACACAGATGAATCCTACTTGAGCTTGAGCATAAGAATGCAGAAAACAAGGATAATGAGCTACAGGAATAGGTAACCATGACTTTTCTTTATTCCCAATTTCTATACTGAGTTATCACACTTGCGCTCATAGAGAGTAGTCACCAAGAACAATAAGAAATGACAGAGATGCTCAAGTTCCTAACCCCCCTCTCACCAATACAATGATGAAATAATTCTTCAGTTCTAAGGATTCATCTGCTCAATTATTGATAATGTGATAAAACACACAAGAAAGACAGGAACATTTTACTTACATTTGAAATGAAAATTTTCTCAGCCTGCACACAGTGATGAGAGGATTGAAATAGATGTGAGAGTTGTGTGAAAATCATAACGCAGCGAGCAGCCACACACACACAGCAGCAAGACAGAACATGAAACAAGGCATTATGTAGATACACATAGCTACACAAGCACTCTACAACTATTGTCAGGTCATAAAAATCACTGATTTTTTTAGTTATCTAGTCTGGTAGTAAACACAACTCGTGTGTGTATGTGTAATGTTTTTGGACATGACAATAATGCATAAGTACACGAAGAAATCCATCACCTCATTAGTGTGAGACAACAATGAAACATGAATTCACCTGAGTCTAGGTAATACATCTGTTTCACAGACAAAGCTCAAAAAGAAGAAGGAAAACAAAAGCAAAATAAAATGCAAAAATGAGAAATTCATCTGAAATCAGTGAATTCTAGTAGTTGTGTTAATTAGAGAAAAGAGAAAAAACTACTTCTAGTCTATAACAATTAAATTGGTAAAAAAGAAAGAAAAAGGGAAAAAATAGAAGCCACTACATTAATTGGAGTTAAAATATTTTATGACTTTATTTCATATACACGTAATATTCAATAGTTCTACAAGCACAGACATTCAATTTCAAACATACAATGTTTGCAGTACAACAAATTCTTCTCAGTTTCACTTCAAACTGACAAAGAGCATTTTCAGAGTTTGTACGGTGTATGCAAAAGGTATATACTGCGATTTATGCAATTCAATCCCTGGCAGGTATCAGTTGTTGACTGTTACAACCAAACGCGAGCAGAGCTGTGAAAATCGCATTATAGTGAAATAACAATATTGCGAACCCAGCAAATTTATATTAAGGCATATCTTTAAAATTTTGGATTTGCACGTCTACTTGCTCACTCTCATCTACACAGATTTACAAAAACACAATAGAAATAACAGTTTAATTTCATTTACACGTTTTTTTTAGGGGACCAAAAGGGAAAAAATGTATCCAAGAAAAACACCAAACTGAAAATGAGGAAAATTTATAAGAAAAGTAAAAAGTCAATGATTTAACAAAACTATTGTGTGAGAATAACATATTATGCTTGTAATACAACTGTTTAATAGTCTCGAGAAAAAGTCTAAATAGTCTTGATATTATATGAACATTTTTATAACTTTTGGTCTGTAACCTTAAGATTACTTTTCTCTGCACAAACAACATAGGATTTCCTCCCCAAAATGTGACAACTTTCCCATTACTTCCTACAACCATCATGCTGGATTACAAAATAACAAAATTTCTTGAGCATGAACTGCTCCATTAAAAGCAATAGGTTTGTCAGTCTATCATCACTATCGCCATTATAATCTTTATCAAACTCTTGCAAAGGGATCACATTGCCAAACTCATGTTCAAGGTGAGTTGGACATGCACAAAACCAACAAAACAACCTGAACAGTGGATCAAGACAGATTCACAAGAATCTGATTTATCACTTATGTTGTTATGCTGGTAGTTGCATGGTCTTAAAGAAACAATTATTAAGGATGCATTAGCATGAAAAAACAAATAAATGTGAAATTCAAATCTGATATAATTTAAGGCGGGAAGAATAGGAATTTAGCTGGGTCTTAAAAACAAAATGAATAAATATGAGAAACATGTAAGACCATAACATAAAAGAGTTTAGTAAACATTATTTTCACTTAGTATACATCAATTTCTTTTTACATTTCAGAAATGCTTCACTTAAATACTAATTAATGCATAATTTGGGCAATTTGTGCAGAAGGGCTTTGATTATAATTTGGATATGCTTTAAAAAAGAAAAAAAACTTTTTTAAACATGTTTTTCCAACAGGAAAAAAATTGTAAATAGTATAAAACTTTCTACTGAAATTGGTTTAAATCAGTCTTTTTTAGTAATTGAAACAGAAACAAAACACTTTAACTAATTTCAATAATTTCAATACTTTTTGGACTGTTTATATGAGTAAATAATGGAATTAATTTTGGAATGAACAACCTTGATTGGTAACAGTAATCACACTGTATTTGCTAAAAGTTTTTAAAGACTAAACAAAATCATAATCTGCATTGAACTACATCTCCTACATGTCCTACAATAAGAGATAAGAAAGCCAACCGCCACAATGGTCTTAATTAATCAGACCCTATAAAACAAATTGAAAATTTCGAATTTTAAAAAGGTTTTGGTTAATAAAAATGAGGAACAACAATTTATTTTTATTTTAATATATTTTTTAAGTGTACAATGTGATTTTCTTACGTATGATGTGTGCACTTAAGATGAATGCAGTTTTCCTAGCTTTCTCTAACACGTATTTTACTTATTGTCCCAGCATTTACTTCCTGGTAAAAGTATAAGGTTATTCATGCGAAATTAAGTAAGTGCTTTGGCTTAGTAAAATACACTTACTTCAGACTTGAAGTAAATACATTTTTATCTGCCCATTAAGTTGGTGGTTAAAGGTGGTAAAAAACCATGTGCATTTATAATACCAACTATATAACTGATGTATTTTTGGGATCCACTGTGGATTTGCCAAGCAATTCAGAACAATTTAGAAGCAGGCCAGTAATGATAAAATTTAAAATGATCGTCATTGTAAGTGAAATGGAACAAGAAAATAATTAAAAATCATTAACGACAATGTTTTATGAGGTGTTGATCTTCAAGGCTCACTCTTGGCTGATGTCTGATACAAATGTGAAATCGTTTTGAAAGAAGAAAAGTTTGAAATGAAAAAACTCCATTGGGGTGAATTCTACATCCAACCACAGGAAAAAAATGATTGAAAAGAAATTCTTAGCAAAAAATTTCCAAACATAGTAAAGTTTGCCACTCTCCCTCACACAAGGGGTGCACATGCTCAAGTGACGGATCCAGGAGGGCATAAGAACAGTGGTTCTTCACCCAGCAACATTTCTTTTTATTTTACTCAATTTTTTCAAAATAATTACTCTACATTGATCTCATCACATACAAAGCAGAATTCTTATTTTGAACATACATTAACATCTTTTTATTTCAAACTAACAATGAAAAAAATTATTATTTCAAAAATATTTAAGTCTGAACTGAAACCCTCTCTTCTTAGCAGCCCCTCTTGAAATATGTTCTGGATCCACCACTAAAGAGTTTGTAGTTTACAACTTGATCAAGCAAACAATAAACAAAGTGAACTTTAAATTAATGTACGTTAAAGAATTAGAGGCCACAAACAAAGAGTGCCAGGAAGAAAATCTGATGACTGAGATGGGAATGTTCTTGGGTAGTGCCAGATGTAAAACAAAGAACGCAAATTCATTGCGCAAAACTTTCAGGAGCTAAAAAGTCTGAGGACTAGAAAGAAAGAAACCAACAGTAATACACATGAAGATGAAAATGGCACGGACAAAGATGATTTTAAGGAACAAGAAAATAATAAAAGTTCGAGCAAAAAAGAAAAAAAGCCTTCTCATCAACAGGATAATTCTCTTGTAAATAGACTATTTGCCATTTTATTTTGACTGAATAGTAGGAATTAGTTAAAAATTAAAATTTTTCACAGGGGGCCTCTTCAAAATTAAGACGTTGTCTAATGTTCGCGTAAATACGATATGTACAGGCAGAAGAAATACTTTATTCAAAAAACGTGGGTGCTTTTTGAACTGAACATCTTATTAATATTAAATTATTATTGAGAAATCATATTTTTGTTGATTTTCTAGCACGCCTTTGTGTTTTGAAGATGGTATATATATATATATATGCTGCCTGTACATATCGTATTTACGCGAACATTAGACATATTATATATATAT